ATCATGCTGTAGCACAGAGGGGGCATATAATGGCTGTGGGAGGACAGATGGAGAGGGCCTAACATACAAGAATAGACAGAGCAAGCAGAATACAAAATTAACTTGAGTTTTAAAGACATCACATTAGAGGAGAATAGGGAGGGAAGGGGACTTTGGAGTTTTAGGGACCACATATATCTTGACTCAAGGGGCCAGGGCATCAGTCTAAGAGAAGGGGATTTGGAACACAACCAAATTTAAACACGGAAACTTTGAAAACATAGTTTTCTTCTTCTTTTTGGTAGGTGATGATCGAATGCTTCCCCTTAATTTAGAGAAACGTTTCTAGTGAACGCGTCCATTTATTTCCTTGAAACTAAGGTAAAACAAGAGAAATATTTTTGACCCATCTTGGGTTAGAAGATTAAGAATATGCTGTGTAGAGCCTCGGGCTGGCACATGTAAGGGAGCCCAAAAGTCTCTCAGAGTGAAGGCTGGGATCCACTTAAATACAAAAAAATGGTTCTTTCAGAGCTCTTTTTTGTTGTTGCTCATACTTTGGAAGATTTTATCTTCTTTTATCTTTAACAAAGGAGGCCATTCCAGTCCACCAATCAGATCAACAATGTCTATTTCCAACATTGTATGTGCTGGCCTGAAAACCCTTCCTAGCTTCTGAGCCAGAACTGGAGAACTGTCATGTTTTCTTGGTTCTGCTCCCCCACAAAAAAGCCAAACACTTCTTTTGAAATGCCACCAAGAAGGCAGATGCAACCATGAAGACAGAAGAAAGTTCTACACTGTATTGTACATCTGCATTGTCCAATATGGTAGTCTCTGGCCATATGTGGGCATTCGATTCTAAAATGAAATTAATTTAAAATTTTAAAAAGCTTAGTTCCCAAGTCATACTAGACACATCTCAAGCGCCCAATAGCCACACATGGCTGGTGGCTATTGTGTCAGACAGTGCATAATAACATGTCTATCATTACAGAAAGTTCTGTTGGACAGACTGATCTAAATCCTTGTACATAACACTGGATGGTCTACAGGACTGGCAATGGGATTCAAGAGCTATCTTCACCCCCAGCATCCTCTCCTCAATGACAAGTCACTCTACCTGGTCTTGTACAGTTTTCCTGGGCTGCTGGCAAAATAGTGATGATGATGATAATGATGATGATTATGATGAAGATGATGATACTGACCCATGTTTATCTAGTCCTTAACATGTGCCAAATAGTGTGCTAAGGATTTAAAATATCTATTACGCTATTTCATTACCACCACAAGCCAGTGAAAGACATTATCATCTGCTTTATAATGATTCAGAAACTGAAACTCAGAGAAATTAAGTGATCACATAACTATTAGGTTATGCCCTATGAAACTGCCAATATTCAGTCAATTTTATGCAAATGGCAACTTCATATGATTGAGTCATTATAAATGGCAGAGTCAGGTCTCAAACCTAGACCCAAAGACCATGTCAAGTTCAACGTGGTTAAGCCTTTGTGACTGCCTTGAAAGCTCTATCATAGAACAGTTGAAGGATTAAGTGAAATAATGTTGGTTTTGTGCCTGGTACACACTGGGGCTTATGAAATGTTCTTTTTGTTTCCATCTGTTAGTCTTACTCTCTGGGGAAGCAGTCCACAGCTGTCTGAGCAGATGTGGCCCGTGAGATTGAGATTTACTAGATCCCCTCCCAGGGACCTGGAAAAGTCCATCTTTGTCATCAAGACCTCTCCCAGCCCTCTTCCCATCCATCCCTACTTGCTTCTCTCAGGGAGTGTCTTTGGTAGGGCAGGTCTGGATCATTCTTAGAGAAAGCAGAGGAGTGATGGGCATTCGCCACACCCCTTAACAACCCCTGCAGATGTATTTCATTAGAAAACCCCTCCCCTAGGAGACCACATAAGGAACAGGAGGCTGAAGGTGGACAGAAGAGGTGGCTGCTACACTGAGCTGTGCCAGGTGGTTATATAAACTGTATTCCAGACCTCCTGCATGTTGTAACTTCATTTGCATAATAGTATCTGGCAAAATTTCAAGTCAGTCGACTTGAAATTTCTCTCTCTTTTAACTGGCAAGAGGGGAGAGGAGTCTCCCTCGACTGAGGGGTCTGCTGTTTGGCTGAGGTTTTAGGACTTGGGGTGGTTTTTATCAGTATAAGTAAATTTTGTCTCTCAAAAGCAATAGTATAAGATTGCCAGATTTAGCAGAAGAAAATGTAGGACACCCAATTAAATTTGAATTTTAGATAAACAATATTTTTTTTTTAGTAGAAGTATATACCATACAATATTTGAAACATACTTCTATTACAAATTATTTTTTGGCCAGGCTTGATGGCTTAGCCTGTAATCCCACCACTTTGGGAGGCCGAGATGAGTGGATTGCCTGAGCCTGTGGGTTTGAGACCAGACCAGGCATCTTGGCGAGACCTCATCTCTACAATAAATCAAAAATTAGCCAGGTGTAGTAGTGCATGCCTGTAGTTCCGGCTACCTGGAAGACAGAGGCGGAAGGATCTTCGGAACCCGGCAGGTCAACGCTAGGGTGGCTGTGAGTGTGCCATGGCACTCCAGCCTGGTTGACAGAGTGAGACTCCAACTCAAAAAAAGAAAATTATCTGTTGTTTATTTTAAATAACAAATTTATCTGGTGCTGTGTACCTCCTCCAAAATTCAGGTGTTGCCAATTTGATAGTTCTAAGAGGTGATTATACCATGTGGGTTCCTGCCTCCTGAATAAGGTAAAGCCTTATAAAAGAGACTTAATGCAGAGTTTGGTGAGCTTGTCCTTCTGCCATGTGGGGATACAGTGGTCCTCCTTTCCAGAGGATGCAGCAATCAGGCACCATCTTGGAAGAAGAGAGCAGTTTTCACCAGACAAGTGAACCTATACCTGCCTTGATCTTAAGACTTCCTAAACTCCAGAACTGAAAGCAATGCGTGTCTATTCATTATAAAGTACCTAGTCTTTAGTGTTCTGTTAGAGCACAAATAGGCTAAAACATGCTGACATTCTGTAGTTTCTGACAACCTAACAACAGTGGGGCTTCTGTCCACCCTTCAGAGGTCAGGCCATTGCTGATGATGTTAAGAACACTTGGGAGTTAGAGGGAAGGAGATCCAGATCTGGTTTGCCAGTTACAGCCTCGGTTCATAATCATAGGTTCTCATGGGAAGGCACAGAGAAGTGATTCAGACCTGTGGCTCTCAAAGTGTGTTCCCTGGGACCAGCAGCATCAGCATCACCTGGAACTTGTTAGAAATGCAGATCTTGAGCTCCATCTCAGACCTAATGCATATTCTGGGGATGGGGACCAGCATTCTGCTTTAACAAGCTCTCCAGGTGATGCTGATACAATTTGAGAATCACAAGTTTAAACTTTGAACAAGATCCTTGGAGATCAGACAGACACGGGCTTGAAGCCTAGTCCCACTGTTTACTGGCTTTGTGAACGTTAGTGGAATTATTTCTCTAAACCTCTGCTTCTCCCTAGATTAAAAAAGAACATGATACCTTATTAAAGATTAAATGAGGTTATACACTATATCTACAACCCAAAGTGCTTGTCACTGCAAGACACACACAGTGATTATTCTCATTTTTATGACACAGGTGTAGGTCCAGTCATGCCTAAGACAAATTTGATGGTCTGCCTAGCAAGTTCTAGTTATGGGGCAATCTTTGTGTACTCTTCAAGTGAGCCTTTAATTTTCAAGACTCCAATTTTCAACAGACCTATGGAGGGAGAAAATAATTAAGAGAAAAAGGTTGCACGGAGAGAAAGGACCAACATCCTGTGGGCACTGGTTTTCTAACCCACAGGCCGCCAGAGTGACGGCCACATTGATTTAATTTCCTTTGTTCAGTGTTTGGTCTAGAGCTATTGTCTATAAGGCAGGGTTTCTTTTCCTTCTCATGGTAAGGAGAGGGAATGATGGCCTGACGTGGTGAGGACAGTGTGGGGTCTCTTGTGGTGGTGGTGGGGATTAGCACACTTAGGCATGTTTTACCAGCCAAGTCTGGGTGCTCCCATATTAAGTTTAGATAAAAGTTTCTCAGGTTTGGCACTATTGACATTTTTGGTCAGTTAGTTCTGTGTAACGGGGGCTGTCCTGAGCATTGTAGAATGTTTAGCAGCATCCCCAGCCTCTACCTACTAGATGCCAGAAACCCCCTTCTTTTCCTTCCCCCCGGTAGTGACAATCCAAAACATCTCAGGACTTGCCAAATGTCTTCTGGAAAGTAAAACTGCCTTTGTTTGAGAACCACTGGTCTAGAGAGTCTATTAGATTACACCCACTCAGACAATTTTAACAGCTATATTTATTGAGCATTTACAAATATATCCAATCATCACACTCATATTACATAGTAGATGTTATTACCTACATTTTACAGTTGAAAAAACTGAGGTTTAGAGGGTTAAATTCACTTGCCCCAGCCGGGCTCTGTGGCTCAGCCTGTAATCCCGCACCTTGGGAGGCTGAGCCCGTGGGTTCGAGACCCGTCTGGGCAACTTGATGAGACCACATCGCTACAATAAAAAATAAAAATAAAAAAAAAAGCCGGGCTCGGTGGCTCAACCTGTAATCCCGCGCCTTTGGGAGGCTGAGGTGAGTGGATTGCCTGAGCCCGCGGGTTCGAGACCCGCCTGGGCAGCAAGACCTCATCTCTACAATAAATAAAAAAATCAGCCGGGCGTGGTAGTGAATGCCTGTAATTCCGGCTACTTGGAAGGCTGAGGCGGAAGGATCGCCGGAGCCCAGCAGGTCGAGGCTGTGGTGGCCGGGAGCGGCCACTGCACTCCAGTCTGGGCAACAGAGTGAGACTCCAACTCAAAAAAAGAAAGTCACTTGCTCCAAACCACACAATTAATAAATCTGGGATTCTAACCAATGTTAGTCTAACTCCAAAGTTTGTATAGTTCCTGCTATAACACTCCCTCTCTCTGGAAAATTAAGATTTTCTTTTTTCCTTAAGGAAATTCTTCTCAAGTCAACTCAAGTGCAAAAATATTTATTGAGCTAGATGCCATGAGAAGCTACAAGAGAAAATCTAAGCTGTTGCTCTTCTCAAGTTTTCAACATCAGTGTCATCGGGAAAGACACACTCACATACAATACAGTTAAAGAGCAATATAAGACATTCTGAGTCTGGGCCAAAATGAGCATTTCTAGAGGTAGAACTTTGTGAACTGAATGCCCATTGTGTATGTCTGCTTCATGTATCCTTTTGATGTCAATCGTGATGATAAAACAAAACAAACAATGCAGCCTTGAAGTACATGGAACCTACCAGCCCGTGTCCTACGAAATATTAATTATCTTGCCTTGGGATGGGCTGTGAGTTGCTTCCAGATAAACACTCAACCATCTTCTTTCTGGCTCTCTGCATGAAGTTCACATCTCCCCTTTCCCTGCGTATGGCGGTATACTCGTAAGCCTTGAGCTTACTATAGTAATCAGAGAATTTGTTGTAGAGGATGGAAATGGGCATCCCATTGAGAATGATCCCAAAAGCAATGCAGAGGAAGGCAAAAAGTCTGCCCAGGTGGGTCTCTGGGTACATGTCTCCGTAGCCCACGGTAGAGATGCTCACCTGTATAGGAGGGAAAGCGGGACAGAATTGTTAGCACCATGAGGAGGGAAAAGAGGAAAGGGAAAAAGCAGGCAGGGAAGTGTCCTGTGTCTCCCAGCAGGTGCATGTGGGATGTGTAATGACTCCCCACGGAGCCAGCTTTATTTATTTATTTTTAGATTAGGAAACATAGTTTATTTAGAGAGTAAATTAGAGAAAGAGAAAGAGGAGATTCATCTCCTCAAGGTAGGGAGGGGGGCCAAAGCCAGGAAACATGGCCTGGCCATAGCTCAAGGGGCATATGGCCACACCATACCTCAGCAAGGCAATGGTCGGAGCCAGCTTGAGAAGGTTCTAGAAAGTCTACCTGGAGGACCTGTATCATGGAAAGAACACAAGCTGAAAGACTTTGGTTTAATCCTGACTATAACTCATGTATGGTTTTATATATGATATGGGGGAGATAATAAATACCTACTTGAAAGCTGTTGTAAAGAGCATTTAAAATAATATTATGTTAAATTCCTGGTGTATAATGTGCTCAGTAAATGTTGGTCTTTGCCTTCTCACCTCAGCCAGCTTCAGGACAGGGGGTACCTATCTGATGGATGTATTGGAAAGAGTTTGGGGTTAGAACCATTCAAACCTGGGTTCAAGTTCTGAATCTGACCCTTTCCAGTTGAGTGACCCTGGGCAAAACTTTCAGAGTCTCTTTTAGGATTCTTCATATAAAACAGGAGAATACCACCTAACTCTCCAAATTCTTGTGAATCCCAATAAGAAAATGAATATAAAGCACTTAACACAGTACTAGGTAAACAAAAGGCATTAAATTTTTTAAAACGCCTACACTGTCTTTCATTCATCTTTAAAATGAAGAAAATTATAATACTTCTCAGAGTTGTTATGTAGTTCAAATGAGAGATTTGGGAAAGACACACTCACATACAATACACACACTCACACACTTTACTGCAAATGTCTAGAGAAACACTCATTATTTTGTGAAGGGACTTTTGTAAGACATCACTGACCAAAAATATGTTCACCTCTGCATGAAATACTTCCTATCACTCTTGTCACACTGATTTAAATCCCACTAATTGGAGATTTATTTAGGTTAACAAGCTTCTGTTTGAAAATGCAGATACCCATGGGACTAGTTATCACTTAGTGTAGCCAGAGAAAACCCTGGGAAAATCCCTTGGAGACTGTTTTTTATGCCTCATGTACTCCTTTGATCCCCAGACTATTGGCTAAATTACTAGAAGCCTTTTAAGCAGTGCTGTTGCTGACAATTGTAAAAATTTTGCATTGCACAACTCCAGGGGGCACTCTTGGCTTCATGTATTTGTAGTTGTTGCCACAATTTTCCAGCAGATGGCAGTAAAGTGTACAAAGTCACCCTGCTGACCCATACTGAGGTGGCCTTTAGCTTAGAATTATAAACACTTGTGGTGAGGTAAGGCTTAGTTTGAACTTCAACAAGGGGGGCTGGTTGATTAGAATGAAATGGAGAAATATGCCAGCTGGGCAAACTGGGGGAACTGATATGAACCACAGCTCTAGTCCATGAAAAGTAAAGCTGGGCTCGGTGGCTCAGCCTGTAATCCCATGCCTTTGGGAGGCTGAGATGAGTGGATTGCCTGAGCCGCGGGTTTGAGACCCGCCTGGGCAGTGAGATCTCATTTCTACAAAAAAAAAAAAAAAATCAGCTGGACGTGGTAGTGCACGCCTGTAATTCCGGCTACTGAGGCGGAAGGATCGCCGGAGCCCAGCAGGTCAAGGCTGCAGTGGCCGGGAGTGGCCACTGCACTCCGGTCTGGGTGACAGAGTGAGACTCCAACTCAAAAAAAAAAAACCAGTAAAACAGTGCACTTCCTCTATGGGGCAGGTGATTGGCCACCTATCATTGCTCCATCTCTTGCTAGAGACCTGCTGATAGTGGAAGAATACAAGCAAGCATCCAAAACAGGTAGGATGGTATAGATGAGGTGAAGAAAATAGCGACTGGGTTAGACTTCATTGGTTTGAATCCACTTCCCAGCTGAGTAAGTTGGGCAGGCTACCTACATTCTCTCTGCCACAGTTTCTAATTTTGACATGTGAGGAATCTACTTCACAGGGTTGTTATAGGGAGGAGAGCCTGGCACAGGTTGTGTGAGCAATAATACAAGTACACATATCATATAGGTAAACCCAGGGATTTCCTCTCCTAAAGCTGGCCATTGCTCAGGAGAGGCAAAGACCAACATTTATTGAGCACATTTTACGCCAGAACTTTATGTTATGCTAATTAGACTCACAAGCTGTGAAAACAGGCTCATCCTTGACTCTGCTCTCTGGCTCCAGTAGAGAATCTCCTTTTCCTCTCTGGTCCAAAGGATGACTTAAGGCAGTGACAGAGTGAGATCATGGGTTAATCTCAAAGTCTGCTTGTCCGTGTCTGTGTGTGTGTGTGTGTGTGTGTGTGTGTGTGTGTGTATATGTGTGTGTGTTTCTTTTGACTGGCCACACCAAAATTAAAAGAACCCGAGTCAGATCTCTATCCATGTGTGTGGAGAACAATAGCTTTCATCTGTCACTAACACCATCACATACACCTCTGTACAAATGTTTAGCTCAGTTCAGTCAATTTTCCCTGGAGGAAGCCTAAAGGGAGTTTGGACATAGGAATAAGTAGTTTTAGAATATGAAACGTCCACGAAAGTCCATTGTAGAGGCCTTGAGGAAACAAGTCACTCAAAGGTCCAGTCACTCAAGGGAAGGGGTGAGGAGGGCGGGAGGACACAGAAGAGGGAAAATAAGACAAAATGCTTACTTTCAACTTTTGATCAATCCCCATACTGGCTTTCCTTCACGCTCAAGCCCAACTTTTTTTTTGGCTGAACTTTGAGTGAAAAGTCAAAAGCAAAGAGAATTGGCTTAAGGAAGAGTAAATATTTGATATGCATAATGCGGTCCAAATATTTTTGTATATCTTGGATCTCTATTTTTAGAGAAAAGATCTCTTCTGCTAGAAGGTTATGTGTGACTAGTACCCAATAATTTCTTCAAAATGTACAGTACATTTATGCATTGTCTACTTTTATGAATAATTTGGTTCAATAAGTTATCTGTTTCTTGCTCCCTGACTCCAGTAGGAACTCAGGATTCCTTGGCATTAGGGAACTTTTTCTCCATGTTCCATGGCCAAACCATTTCTCCCTAGATGGGCGTTTAAAAACTGAAGGCCCCAGACTGACCCAAGTGACCTCATAGAGTAAGTTCTCACATTAGCAAGGGCTGGGTTTGAAAATGTGACCCAAGTTTCTGTAGTTCATTTTAATATCCTGGAAAACAACTATGTAGCTCAGCAATGCTGTGAACTGAAAACTTACCATTCTGCTGAAGACTTACATATTTTCCTTAGCCTTGTGTCCCAAAGCCAGAAAGTGACCTTCTACTAGCAGTTTACTCACTAATCAGTGTGTTTGGCCTGCCAAACATTATGAGGACAGACATCAGATTTTCCTCCAAAACTTCAGAACACTTGGATTTCTCATTTAACAAGGAATGTGTGTTGCCCTCATAATGAACTAAGTATAGATTAAATCTTGGCACCCAGTAGTACATGCATCTAGGAATTATAATCCCAGGGAATAAAATGTATTTTTCAAAATAATTAATAACCTTTCTGTTTTTCCAAAGAATTGGAGGTGGTAAAGATGAACTGTTTTTGGCTAAAATTGTTATACAACTCAATGCATGTTGTCTTTCAAAGGATTCATCTTCAAAGGCTATACTTATCCATGCCACTGTTGTAACAAGTATATTTAGAATTTCTCTTTTGGATTTTAATCTTCACAGAAGATTCAGTGGCAAGATCTTGATACAAGTAGTCCTATCTATCTTGACAGTTGACTCTAGGTGCCAATCTTTTTTTTTTTTTTTTAATTTACTGCCTTGATGTCTGGTTTGTTGCATGTGACCAGTCATTAGGTGCCAATCTTAAGCTCAAATGTCTTTTAACTATTTAAAAATATTGAATCCAGCCTCAAAAAGGGTGAAGATTTAGCACTATTACAAAGGTTTTACAGGCTCTGAAGGTAATTTCTCAGTGGAATTCAAAGAATGTTTTGTTTAGTGAAAGCATTGTTAGAATGAAGTCCAGAGTGCCCACCTTGAAGAGAACAACAACTCTTATCTGTATATAACAGTTCTGATATGTAGGTAAATGGTACAAAAAGGGTGAGATGTGCACAAGCTAAAGCAAAACCACAAATGCAAGTCTGGGATCTATTAATCTATCTACAGAGTTACACAGTAATCAACCCTCCACATCCTCAGTTTACTAAGTACTTCTCTCTGCCCTCTGTAATTCTGTCATGCTCTACTCAAATCATACTGGTCAACAGGAGGAGCATTCTTTAAAGACATAAAAGGGGACCACTCTAAAATCAAGAATCTACAAGATCAAAAATCGTAACAGTGTCCAAGAGCCTCTGCCCCATTTATAGTTCCTGTGTTATTTCTGAAAGAGCTAGGAGAACTCCAACACCTGTGCCAGATATTTATCTGTTGTCTGTCAGTCCCAAGGCTGACATCCTTGTGTACTCTTTTCTGTAATTCTACTACTGGTTGTCTGCAAATTACATTTCCTAGATTCCCTTGCCCACTGTCTTCTGGTATTCTGCCAATGAGACACTCTTATGGGGGACTGGAAGGTGAGATGAGGACATAAGGGTCTCTATTCTGGACTCCAGTTTCTGCCATCACTCCTCCAATAGTAGCTGACAGCTGTGGCTCAGGCATTTTTCGGCACTCCCAGCACCAGCCTCATAGTACCAACTTAAAAGTCCCTGTGATACTACACAGAGGTTCCTCCTCTGGACTTCTAGGGCCAATAGCTATTCCTTGCAGTCACTGATCTCTGGATTATCAGTTTTTCCTTTTTTGCTCTTCCAGTCTTCTAACACTTATTTATTTCCCTGTATCAAATTTCCTGTTTAAAATACCCATCTTGGTGTGTATTTTCCTGA